TCCCTCCATGCATATTTGTCTAGAAACAGCAAGAAGGGGAGACTAAATCATATAATCCAGTGTTATGACTTCAATCAGTCCTACACAATGGAAGTGAACTAACTTTTGTTGACTGTACATAGGAATTTTCCCACTTACTTCATGAATAGTGAACACAATGTTTTTTGGCCGAGACTTGTTCATCCGCTGCCGTAAAATAAACTTCCTAGACTGTAAGTAAGTTGAATTTGACGTTCAACTGCTCTTGTATGAAGAGCCGCGATCATGTGCTTCAGATGCTAAACATTACAAGATAGTGTCGCAATTGGCATACTGTAGCAATGAGTGCCTCCGGAATCTTTTTCTGCTGATTCAATTTTTCCGGATTCACAAGCGTTATTGGCTATGATGTGGCGCAGCCACATGCTGCAAAACACCCAGGAGCTTGTTACAATCTGTTGCCATCTTACCGTTTCATTGCTGTTGACGCGATGCCCTTTTAAATTTTTTTTCGGGGTGGGGGAGGGAAATTCGCAACGCATGCTTCAGACTGTTTAATGGTCGACTGAAGCGTATTCTCTGCTTTTTCTATATATTCTGAAACGGGATGCATGATTTTTATAGAGATGATGTGAAAATACTGACAAATTAACCGCTCACTGATAGTCAGACGGAGCGCAAAGGATATTAGAAAAGCGTGATTATGCGACTGATAAAAAATCTTATGATATACAGGTAAATTGGTAGAATGTAGCTAGAACGGTTTAAAAGCAGCCAGTTAGTTCACGCAGGAAAATGCGGAACGAACGGTTGCAACGGCCTACAATTGAATAGCACTCCTACAATCCATGCACATCATTTAAGTGCCTCTGTCAATAGTCTGCAGATGAGTATAAAACCTGATCTATGAAAAGCCAATCTGCACTTCGCATTGTAAGAGCATAAGTAAGAGGAAAACCATGCGCCTGGTGGACGAAAGTATTTTGACAAGTCCGTGTGCAGCAGTTGAGTTCAATTAGTTGCTTGCTATGTGACATTCAGCAGCATTTTAAGGTTCAAGGATGGCGAAAACCACTTGTTACGGCCCGTGGTGTTTTCTTACCTTTCGAACAGTTCTTACAGTTAGCGCAGCCTCGCAAAGAATACATACTAATCGTTCCTTCTGAAATGATATCTTGAGGGAAAGGTTACTTTGTAGTTGTTTTAAGGTATAACTTGAACTATGAACGATCACGAAAGAAAGCAGGAGAACCGGTTTCAGCAAAGAACTGGGTACGCATTGCTTGGTGAGAGTTGATTTGTGATGCTCCCTCAGAACCAGAAATAAAGGTCTATCTTTTGGTGAGCGTCGACAGAGTATGACAAAGCTACATCGTTTGGGGACTCCCACAGATGTCCTCTCTTAAAGCGAAACGCTACCTACTTGCTATGCCTGCGATCGCTCCGAAAAAGAGTTCATTTGCAACTGTACCGTAAATCGTTTGTTTTCTTAGGTATTCAACACCGGGAGCTCAGCAAATCACAATGTAACGCATGGATTTAAAAGGGTTCGAGTTATGGATGCCATTACAAGGAGCGATGGTCACTCGATTTGGACCGAATACCATAGCAGCATCGTGTAGTGGTTGCGGCGGACGGCTGTCCACCCTGCGAACACGCACATACAGTGACGGTCTACAGGCACCTCGCTCGTTTTGCCGGAAGTCGTTCGAGTCGGCCGGAAGAACGTACATGCATATCCCAGCGGATCACCGCCAGTGCGAAAAAGAATGGATTAATGGAGATGAAGGAATAAGTGGATGTATGTCAGACGCGCCAAACCGCATACGTCAACGAGATGGGACACCGGGCGAGACCCAGCCAGCAAACGTCGCCA